CTCCACCAGCAAAAACATTATGACTCACTGAAGGCTCAGATGATCATTAGCACTTCTTAGCAATAGAGTATTTTTTAATTAAGGTGTGTACTTTGGTTTTTAGACATAATGCTATTGTATACTTAATAGACTACAGTATAGTATAAACATAACCTTTTAAAATTTTTTTATTTTAATTATTATGGGTACATACACTTGTATATCTTTATGGGGTACTTGTGATGTTTTGATACAGGCACAAAATGTGAACTAATCTAATCAGGGAAACTAGGGTATCCATCACCTCGGGTATTTATCACTGAGTTGTGTTAGGAACATTTGTGTTCCTAACATAACTTGTATATGTGCTGGGAAACCAAGAAATTCATGTGACTCACTTTATTGGGATATTCACTTTATTGTGGTGGTCTAGAATCAAACCTGCAATACCTGCCTGTGTAAGGGTGAAGAGCCAGGGCCCAGAACACCCATTTCCTGATAACAGGCTGGGCATGGTTCTGGGGCCCCCAAATAACAGCATCTTCCTTATTGCAGCTGTACCTTGATGAGGACAGGGGCTGTGTGGTCCATCTCCCTTGGTGGCCAGGGACTGGGACACTTTGCTGGAAACTCAAACTCCCTCACAATCATCAAATACTATTAAATACTCTAAAACAAATTTATTCCTACTTTAAAAAAAAAAGTGATTAGAGACGTCAATGGGAGAACTATCTAATAAAAGACAATCTTTTATCAACAGTTGATATATTAAATATTCAAAGTTAAGTCAAAATAACAAAGCGAAGTGGAAAATAATGTCACTCAACAATAAAAATATTTATCAAATGTAAAAAAAACTTACTGAAACTATTTTACATATATTTTGAAAATGGAAAGAAATGGCAGTTTTCATTGAATACCATGCCTGCCACCTTACTATTCTACACATTTTAACACCAAAGACGGTAAAGAAAATAAAGTAAATATGTAGGTTGCCAGAGAAAGGAGAATAAATTTTTTTCCATAAAACTAATCCATCAAAAAAATTCTTCTTGTATAGTATCTTTTAATTTACATGTATTTGTTGACTAACAAACCATGCCTAGAAATAAACTAAATAAGGCGATACTATTTGCCTAAAATAAATTGCCTATTCTAGGCTTCTTTATGACAGTATGCAAACATGTCATATTATTTTACTATATGGTCTAGCAGTTAGATATAAAGGCAACGGAAGATTAGAAATTCACTATATTTTGGAAGTATTAATAATTTTTCATAAACATATCTATCCAATATTCCCTATCAGAATATAATAAAGGATATAGGCTTTGTTATAGTTATAACCACAATAAAAATTATAGAAATTTGCTTAAGTAAATATGAAAATATGGGGAAAATATTTCAACAATAAAAAAAAGAAACACTTTCTAGTAAGCACACTAGAAAGAACACTTTTAATCTTGCCATTTTTGAATCAGTATTCAAAGACCTTTTTGAAACTCCCAGTTTTTGTAGTCTGGACAATAACCCGCCCCACACACCCCCAGCTCTTATGGTTATTTTCTACCTGAGGAACTAAGGATTGCTGTCTATCCCCACTCTCCAAAAAAAATTCATAAAAACACTAACTCAAATGTGGGAACCATTAAATGATGCCTATGGAAATCACAAGAGCAAAAAGAGAAAGGAGAATTCAAGCAGAGAAAGTAGAAATGGCAGAACTAGGAAGCAGCCTGTTCAGACAAAACTGGGCCAAACTAGAGTAGGTGATAGGGCCTGTCATCTGATGAAACTGATAACTGGAGATGTGCTCCCCACCGCAAAGGTCCTAAGAATAAAGAAACAGGTGAAATGAAACTAACACGCACTGGGCCTGCTACCGTACATTTACAAAGATGTTTTCATTCACTCCTTAAGCAACCTTATATGAGCTGGGAAAATCATAGTCTGAACAAAGTAACTCACTCAACCAAGGTCATAAAGTAGATGACAAACCTAGGACTTCGTGCCTAGTCTTTTTCACATTTTGGGAAACACAAATAATTTTAATATATGTGCAGCATGGTCAGATAAGGAGAAGAAGCTGCTTGTAGCTGGTGAGAACCAGCCAGTAAGCTCTGAATACCCCAGGTCCCACCTGGCCTCCCTGAGGGTTGAAGGGTTAAAACTCCAGCACACCCACAACCTACTCCTGACTAGGACTGAGAAATTCGACTGTGTAATTTCAAAGCTGTTGCATTTTCCATTCTACTCTACTGCTTCTCGGTGGCTATACCCAGGTAAGCCTACAGCTAATTCTTCTTACAGCACAGGGAGGAGTTACCCTTCCCCCAAGGCACACACACCTTGACTGCAGGCCCTCTTCCAAAGCACAGGCCATTTCTAATATTTTTTTTTTTACTGGAAAAAATAATTTTTTCACTGGGGAAAAAGTATTGTTTGAAAGACTAAATTAGTTTTTCTGAAAAAGAAAAAATGTGCCCACCATCTTGCTCATGCCAAAAATTCCCTCTAAAGGCAACAAAGACAATCATACCAGTAGGCTTAAAATGAAAACTACTAAAGAAACAAGCCAAAACTCACTTTTATTAGGGTATTAGGGTATTAGTCAAGCAAGTAAAGATAAACGACTGACATCATAGTCCACCAAAGGGTTTTGTGATAAGGAGGCCTGAGAGAGGTGCACATTCTTTCAATGTCACAAGATAGGAGTGGATTCCCCAGACTGAATAGTGGAAAAACCTGAAATGGTAGATAATCCTAAAAGAGGTTGATACGTTTATGAAGTCTGAAATAAAACACAAAATTTGGGAATGTACAGCCAGGCATCATTCTGAGGGGATTGGGAAAGACCAATAAATTATCAAAAGAGTCTAAGGACCAAAAAATTATAAAATACTCTTGTGGAAAATTCCATATGCACCCAAACACCAACAGCCTAGAACAGGGTCCTCAAATTTTTTAAACAGGGGGCGAGTTCACTGTCCCTCAGACCGTTGGAGGCCCGTTGGAGAGTGGGGCGCACATTCCACACATGCGCACTGTGGGCCCGGGACGAGTGGGCTGCAAAGCAGGACAGGCAGTGGCAGCAGAAACACTTTTGCAGGCCCCATGTGGCCCAAGGGCCGTAGTTTGAGGATGCCTGGCCTAGAATCATATTTAGACCTTTCGGTATAGTCTTCAGAGCAGAGGTGGGCCACAAGCTTATTTGTATAAGCAAAGTTTTATTTGAATAAACCTATGTCCATGTGGTCAGAGTTACAACGGCAGCAGCTGAAACCATATGGCTCGTGGTGCCAGAAATATTTACTACATGGTCCGTTAGAGGAAAAGTTTGTGAAACCTCTTCCATACAAAAACAGCCTGGAATGAAAAAGGAGCCCTTAACTACTAGCAACAGAACACCAGTGGCAAGATTTACAAAAAGGCTTATTTCCATTATATAACAGAAAACATATATTTTAAAACTTTTATAGGCCACTTAATAAGTTTTGTTCATTTACATTGTTGCTTCACTGTGGATAGCTATCACTACAAAATAGCTCACTGTATAAGCTCATTACAAAAATAGTATGACAGAGCTGCTATTTTGACAAAGTTTTAAAAAGTTACCCTGCTCAAAAATATTAAGGAATGCTTCATGATCATCTGTGCTTCTCATTCCCACTGTCCACTAAAAACCATGAAACACATTCTGTTTTCTTTAGAATGAAAAATATTAACATTTTTGTGAAAATATATAACACATAGAGATAATCAAACTACTAATTACCAAAAAAGAAATCAGCAGTTCAGAACTTTTATAACTCGGAGATTAAATGATCTAAGTTTGAAAATTCTAAACTGCCATTATTATATCCTACGAATGCATATATTTGATTATAATTATGTAACTAAATATTATTCATCTATATTCCCTATAAAAATGGGGGGGAGAGTTAAACTGGAACCATCTCAAAAGGGTAAAGAAACACTTCTTAAAACATCTTGCTATATATTTATGGAAATGCTGATAAATCACTGGTAAGGCAACTCAGAGCAAATAGTAATCATGTATGTCACTTCCAAGACACAGTCAAGCACTGCATTACGTTTGCTACCGTGTTTTATAGATGATGCACTGAAATACCTACCATCACAAGCCCCCAACAAATATTTGAAGGGACTTTAGTTTGATTGAAACCAGGAATGGGGACAGAGTGCTGCTTTGTGCAGCTGCAGCTACACTACACATTTTTTAAATACCAAAGCCTATTTTTAAAATAATAATGGTAAAAAGAAACAAAACCTGAAAGGAATTTTGGAATTTATTACCTAATTAAGCAACTTCTTTCTCAAAACTGCAATAAATAATCACAATTCTCTCCTGTCCAGATGCCCTGAATAGTGACTGCATTAGTAATGCTATAGAGATACATTTTAAAACATCAGACAGTTCCTAGGAAAAATAGTGTTTCGTTTTATAAACACGGTAAAAGTCTCTAATGATATCTCAGACCACAAATTTAAGTGGAAAAAAAGGAATCTACATGCCAGTAAATGCACAATAGCTGAAAAGGAAAGAATACTTCTATGTTTGCGGTAAGTCAGAGCCCAAAACTGTCCACTGCAACCCCCAGGAAGATTTAGGGGTGGAGGCTGTGAGATTAAATATTTACTTACACAAACTGTAACAGCACTGCACTTCCGTTTAAAAGCTACAATGTAGATTTTTAATTTATTAATCAGGCGTGTGAGTTATAGTGGCATCCACCTCCCCTCCTCCACTAGCACGCTGCCATCATGCCCTCATTCCAGAAGTGCTTCCCTCATTCTTGGAGCCAGCGCTGTCTTATTACCGGGCTGGGAACGGAACTCCCGAAACCGTCCAGCCAGGAAAACGTGGAAGGGAGGAGAGTAACGGAGGGTATCATCTCCATCAGATAAAACAGGTATGACCTAAGTAAATAAACCCGAATGGGAGTTCGGATGATAAAATGAGTCTGCCTGTACCCTGGAGATAAAGTTACAGTCCTTACTTGTTAAACTGACAAGATTTTAACTGTGAGAAGATTCCCAGGGAGGTCTGAAGACGCCTGACGACGCAGGTCCCCGCATGTCTCGGTCTCCGTGCTCAGGCCACTTCAGAGCAAGACCCCGGTGGGTCACGCAGACCCTATTTACCCGCCGAGCAACTTCGTCTCTCGTCCGCTATCCACTCTCGGTGGAAGAGGTTAGTAAGTTCGAGTGCAGTTGAATCTCGGAACGAGACACTCAGCGGGCTCAGAGGAACGCGGGTCCCCTCCTCTGTGTGACTGCGCATTCACCTCACAAGGCTGCGCCTCCGCCCGGCGTCCCTCCGCGGACATCCCCGCGGGAGGAACTCGGTCCCGCTCCACGCCCGCAGCCTGGGTAGGAAGTACCCGCCCCCCGGAGCGGCGTCCTCGCAGCCCATTGGCTGCGGAGGCCGCCACTCCTCCGCAGGGCGGGGTCTCCCGCCGCCGGGCGGAATCTCGGGCCGGCACCTCCAGGAGGGTCTCCCCGGCTCCCAAAGGCCGCCGCCCCCCATCGAGCGAGCACCCAGCCTCCCCACAGGGCTCCTCTGCTAACTTCTCACTTCGCCGGGCCGTCCTCTCTCGGCCCCCACACTGTCTCTGCCCTTTTGACCCCTCCACGAGGCAAAGCTTCTTCCAAGCCCCACTTCTCCGCCACCCCGCGAGCTCCAGCCTGCACCAGGTAGAGGATGCTGCGGTTCAGGACCGCGGCAGGCTGTGGGCTGGATCTCGCCCAGGGCAGCGGGGGATTCCTTGCTCTGGAAATGAAATGAACTGCTGGAGCTGTATGTTCGCCGTTTCAACAGCGCTGGCCTTCGCCAGGTGGTACGAGACAAGAACGCCCAGCGTCCATTCGGCAGGAGCTGCCACAACTTTCCGGGGTTCGCTGCATCTCTTGCTTTACTATTTACCGTTTTCAGGGTCTGACTCGCTGTCCCAAACATTCCACAAACTTTCTGAGTGCATGCACACAGAGCCATTCCTCGACCACACCAGCAGCAGCAGCTCAAGGGCCTAAACAGATTGATAACACATATTCTGGGTTTGTTTTCTCTTTTCTTTTTTTTCCTGTAATGCAACCTGACAAGACATACTGCTGTCGCCTGCAAGGGAGTGTGCGTCTTCCTGAAACTGCAAATTCCTTGCGGAAGGAATCAGAAATAGTGCTTCTAACTATCATGGGTACAACAATACTCTACAACTTAAGGAAATCTGATGTTCTCAACTGCATCCCCGAGCTCAGTAATCTCAAAAGGAAGAGAAAAACCATTTCGTTTCTGTATAACACACGTTTCTGATTTCCAGTTAAGTCCCGCGAATTGCTCAAGGACGGAAACACGTAGCTAACTACAAACTAAGCATATTTTTTAAGGTTTTTCCCCCAAAAAGGACTACAGCCATGCAAGAGCACGATTCAACAGTTGATGCATCATCTCCCAAGGCCTAGAGAGCATGAATAAAAGAGGCAACAAGATTCTTGGGGTCCCCTCTGCAGCATCCTCCAGGCTGCGTGCGCTTCCTGACACAGCTCTGGAGTCACGTGGCCCCACTTTTCTCCTCCGCGCTCCGCGTCGTCTCCCTGACTTTGGCCTCAATTTCCAATTTCTTTCTCTTCCACTGCCACCATCACCACCAATGCTTGCTGCCGCCTCTCAATGCCTCTCCCCGGCATTTTATAATCCCGAGTCTCCCTGAAGCGCATCCCCAACAGGCCTGTCACGCTCCCCGACTTCCCCGGCCGCTTCAGAGTCACCCCAACCTCCCCGCTCCCACCGCCCACTCTCTCCCCGTGAACTTCACTTCTCCAAGTCGGGCCCTGCCGCGTGCTGACAGACGGACTCAGCCAATCCGCGCGGGATAAATAACCCACGCCACCAATGAGCGTCGCCGGGAGGCGGGACTTCGCGCAAGTTCCTCAGGTCTTGAAACGAGAGACCTGTTGCCGCCGCCGCCGCCGCCGCCGCGGCCGCGAGTTTCTTAGTTACCGCCGCGGCCTCGGGCCACCGGAGCCGCGGCCGGGCGTGCGCTCCCCGCCGCCCGCCCCCACCGAAACCCCGCCGGCTCGAGCGCGGCGCGCCCCGCCCCGCCCCTCCTGCCCCGGGCCGGGGGGTTCCCGACGGCCGCCCTCTCCCCGCCCGGCTCCCGCCCGAGCTCCGGGCGGCGACTCACCAGGAAGTCGGGAGTTTTCCGTTCTCCCGCCCGCGAGGCACCGGGGCTGGCGGGCGGGCGGGCAGGCAGGCAGGCGAGGCTCGGCCCGGAGCCGCCGCGCAAAGGCTCGCTGGGGTCCGGGGGCTGCGGCTACGAGGCCCGGAGCCGACCGGCCACCTCCCGCCGCGCCGCCCCCGCGGACGCTGCAGGCGCGGGCTCCCACCCTGCGCTCGGCCAGGCGCGTCCCGAGTGCGAGCCTAGCGGCGGCCCATCCTCCGCGGCGCCGCCGTCAGGAGGGTAAACATCCCGGCATCCCCGGCAGGGGGCGTGGCGGCCGCCGGCCCCGCCCCGCGCCCCGCCCCCGCTCTCCTCAGCGCGCCCGGCCGCGCGCGGAGCCGGCGACTTCCTCTCAGGAGCCGGCGACGACGTCCTCACGAGAGCCGGCGCGGCTCTGGGGCAGCCCCGGGGGCTCCCCGCTTCCTTCCCGCCGTCCTTCCGCCCTCTCAGACCTCCTCGGGCCGAGTTCCCGCCTCGGCGCGGGCCGGCCCTGTCCTTAAGAAAGCGTTTTCCCTTCACGTGTGGTGAAGCGCTCCCATCTGCGGGTGGTGAGCGCCCGGGGACGGTCCCGTTCTCCTCGCCGCCGCGCCTCGACCCATCCTCCTCTCTCAGGTGGTTCAAGCCGCCCCCGCGACTCCTGCGCGTGCGGGAAAACGCGTAAGAAAGAGGCGTTTTTCCTGAGTCCCGCTGAGCAGACCTTGCGTGTGTATAAAGTGGGGGTCCCAGAATAGGCGACAGCGGCTCGTAGGACGTTCCCCAAGGTGAACTACCCGGTTTGGGACAGAGAATCTTTGAAATAAATAAATAACATATGCATATGATGATGCAATGTAATGTATATAAACAATATTGCAGAAGGGCTGCCCAGCTGCAGCTGAACAGCAGTGCCGCGCTGCGAAGGCCGGGAGGACCGTCAGAAGTGAGGCTGCCGCACTTTCCCACCTGTGTAACTGCTCTGTTTCCTTTGCGGCGCACGGGGAAGGCTGTTCCCAGCCGCCAGCCTGCCTGCCGGCCTGGAGCAAGCGCTGACGGAAAAGCAGAGCGGCCCGGCCAAAGAGGCCCCGGTCCAGGAATCATCATCTCAGAATCCAGCTTTCACTGCTCTGCTGTTCCTCTCCCCGCCACGCTTGCTCCAAAAATGCTCGTTTGGCCTCAAGAAACGCATTCATTACAATCCTTTGTAAGAACCACTTAGCGCTTATTATATTCCTAACTGCTGTGCAGTGCATGCTATGAACTAGCAGATTAACTTTGGTGTAAGTGGTATTTGCTTATTGCACTTAATCCGTCTCAGTTGACACCAAGTTTTCGTGGGTTTTTTTGGGTGTTTTGTTTTTTGTTTTTTGTTTTGAGACAAAGTCTCGCTTTGTTGCCCAGGCTAGAGTGAGTGCCGTGGCGCCAGCCTAGCTCACAGCAACCTCAAACTCCTGGGCTCAAGCGATCCTTCTGCCTCAGCCTCCCAAGTAGCTGGGACTGCAGGCATGCACCACCATGCCTGGCTAATTTTTTCTATATATATTAGTTGACCAATTAATTTCTTTCTATTTATAGTAGAGACGGGGGTCTCGCTCTTGCTCAGGGTGGTTTCGAACTCCTGACCTGGAGCAATCCACCTGCCTCTGCCTCTCAGAGTGCTAGGATTATAGGCGTGAGCCACCGCGCCCGGCCAGTTTTTGTGTTTTGTTATCCAGACAGCTTTACTGGCCCCACACAATTAAAACTTAGAGATAATTTTGATTATGGAAACCATTTTTTTTTTTTTTCGTGAAAGGCTAATCTAGCTAGACCAGAGGTGACGTGTAGCAGGTTTGGTGTAAATGCAATTTCTCTGAAGGGAGAAAAGCTTGCTAGGAAAAAAAAAAAAAGTTTTCCTGAAGAAGGGTGATGAAGTAATATTAAAAATAATTCTCCTTTGAAAGAGATACCTAGCCAGTAGGGTAGACCAGAAAGGTCTAGCCTCCTTGACTCAAGCGAAGTGCTGGCAACAGGTGTATTTAAAAAGCTACTAGTGATTTTGGCAGCCACTGAATTTGGCAGCTCGATGGTGATGAGGCTTAGTCAAGCTGTTGAAATGTCTGGACTAAACTGGGCCAAGAGGAGGAAGTCAAAGTGCAGACTGCAGACAACCCGAGAGAGATCACTTTTCTCTGGCCCTGGCTGTGGTCCCTCTACAGTGTCAGAAAATAAATCTTCGTCTTGCTTTGGAAATGCCCATGAAAAATATTAGAAAGTTACTTTTTCACCTCTAATGGCCCCTTGTATTTAATTGTAAGTGGATCGTGCAGATGAACTTCCCATTAGAACAGTAAAATCGGCCTTTAGTTTTATCCTCACGCCAAATCCCTAGAATTCAAAATCACAAAAGAACAACTCCGCTATGTCCCAATTATCTACTTACGGTATTTTGAGAATACAGTTCATGGTTAAAAATAGTGGCATACCGACAGTGGCTTTTCCTGGCTATTTTTGTAGTAGCTATAAAACCAAGGAAATGTTTTCAATACACCGCATATATTTTTTAATGTAGGGAAACGCAATATATTGGTTGCAAAATAGGAAAGAAACGGTACCAACTAGCAGGTTGTGTTTATACCATGATTTCCTTTGGTCAGCACAATACAACTGAATATCTCTTGCCTCTCAGTATAAAAGCCAAAGGGCTAATTTGCAGTGGGCAATAAGTCACAGCAATGAAGGAAATATGTTCAGAAATTATTTCCCTTTTCATTCTTGTACACCTCATCGTTGATGTGGAGCCAAACTGCTAAGTCATTTCGCAGGACATAATTTCCTCAGCAATGATGGCATTTTCAATCACGGGTGTTCCCTATCACCGCTCATTTATGCTAACGGCTGTGGTGCTGTAGCCAGCAAATCTCAAAGACAATTTTTTAAATTGCAGGTTTCTTTGGAATATGTTTTATGTGAACATGTGTCTACCTGGAAAAGCGATATAAAAAATATCCTGTGATTTCATAAAGCTAAACGTAAAGATCTCGAGTCCTGTGTCATTTCCCTGGTCTTTCTCTAACTAACATCTTCTGTGCTCCTGGTTTCCATTTTGGAACACTCCAAATCCAGTCAGTCTGCAT